GGCAAACACAGAGGCCCCCTGCTACTAGGCCTTTTCAATTGCAGCCATGGTCTGGCTCCCAGAAACTCTCACCAAGCTAAGGCACAGGGACAGCTCTGCAGCAGTCACAGAGTCCAATCTCATGAGTTGTTAACTCACCTACAAGTCAAGTTCTGGCTCGCTGGTACTCACAGTGACCCAACTATGCAGAGACTACCAGGAAGTGCCAGAGCCAAATGTAAAATGTCCCCAGTGCCAGGCCCGAAATGGCTTTCACGTTCAAAGGTGAACCATTCCTTGTAAGACTACTGGTTTGCCATTTACTTGGATAAGAACTGGAATTTTCAGGTGTATGTGGATTTAAGCAGACTTTCAGTCTCTGTTTATTGTCAGGAAGAAGCAGGGAGTACTAAATAGGGAGCAAGGCGCAGTTGACAGCGGGTAAGGGGACAGTGGAGAGAGAAATCACCAGGTTTAACTTGACCACAGGATGCCCCTTTCACACACACCTAGAGGCCAGCTGAGCCCCCAAATCTGGAAAGTCCCCAGGATGGGCTCTGTGGGAGGGACTGGGAAAGCCTTGGTATTAACATGTCTGCCATTCCCAAGCATAAATGAGCCTAGTCCTAGTTTGGAATTCCCAAAGACCGTAATACACAGCCATATTGCTGTTGATGTCTCATTACAGTCATTATAAAGCAGCAAGTTAAAGATTACTGAGCGGAACTAATAATGTGTGGCTTCAGAAATTAGAGGAATAATTTCAGACAAATAAAATCAGGACTGGAGAACTCTGATATCAACTCTGGGTTTTTGAATGAAAAAGAAAATGAAGAAAAGAAGAAAAGGAGGGACGAATAGAGAGAGAAACAAAAGAGACTACACATACAAACACACCTTTGTATCCAAGTGTCATTTGCTAAATAACATCCTCATAGTCTCCTCTGTCTACATTGTGAGTTTCTGAAGAGGAAGTCTTCCTCTTTGTGGCTCTATGTCCAGTACCGTGAAGGCCCACTGTTGAAACTGAACGAAGTTAGCCAAGAAGACATCCAGATAAGCCATCCAGATACAAGACCTTTCAGATGGACCCAAAGACATCTAGCAGAGCACACACTCCACGTCACATCAGGTGTCTACTGGGCAATATCCTTAAGGGAGAACACTGGGTTGATTCAGCCTTAGCTGGCTACTCCCTGGCTGTGTGGCCTGAGGCAGACCCCCTTACTCCAGCACAATGAGGTTTGGGGATCTGGGGACTGGCAGTCCTATCTTGGGAGGCTATAGGATCCAACACGCTGCAGTTTGAGTCCAATCCCACATTTGGCTCTTGCTCCTCACGTCCTGAGGATCTCCCACCTGGTTCATCAGAGGCTCGACTACAGGAGGCTCCCACCTAGCCCAGCATCTAGGACAAATTATGACAGTCAGGAATCACTTCTGCTGCCATAAGGCCGATGGAAGAAAGCAGACAATCACAGGAGGCATTTCTTAACCTTGGACTGTTAAGACAACAAGGTGTGTGTCTGTGTACATGTCAATAAATTCTTTTTCCCAGAAAAAGCAAAGGACAAACTGGTTTAAAAGTAAACTGGTTCAACTAATCTTACAAAATTTCAAGACCTCTCTGTGCCTCCTTAACCTTCCAAGCAGGACAGTGTTAAGATTCCAAGACTCATTTCCAAGGGGAGAGAGAAAGAAAGCCCTTTCCAGAGCTGAAGACAGATGTTCTCAAAGTACACCTTGTTCTGGGTAGCCCGACTGTGTCCCAATGTGTGCCTGTGAGGGGAAAAGGGAAAGGGAGTGGGCAGCTCTGGTGAAGAAACGCCTAAAAGCTGAGAGCCCACCAGAGACCAGGCAAGTACTTTGTCTTTCCAAGGGCACAAACCGAGGCAGAGACTCCATTATTTCCCACCATAGTCAGGGGAAATTGGTTCATGGACAAGGGTTCTTAGGCCCCTGCCTATCTACAGCTGCTGTCTGCTGGTTCAGATGCCCATGACTCTCTGATGGCTGCCTCTAGATTAGAGCCTTCTTTGGGGAAGATGAAGAAGACTTCCTCAAGCCACAACTGAGCAAGAGGGGCCTCTGGAGATTAAGTAGTCCTATACTCAACCATTGCCCCCTAAGTGCACCCTTGAGGGGACTGCAGCAAATGTACCAAGCCCCAGTTGAGCCCCTAGGTCACTCCAGTAACCCCTAACCAGTCCAACCTGAGGTACTGCCTGCCCCCTATCAAGCCCCTCCCTGGGCTGGCAATGTTGGTGCCAGTCAAGTCAGCTGAGCTGCCGCAGGATACAGGAGAGATAAACATTCCGGGAAAAGAAACAAATGCAATGCAAGGCCGCTGTTCCTGCTAGGCTGACTACATTTCAGGAAAACACCCAGGCAGCCAGAAAAGGAAGTCTCACTGTCTACTATAGGAGAATGGAAGCTGCAGGGGCCCCAGAGGCCTGAACTCCCTGGGGAAGTTGTAGGAATCCTCCAGAAAGACCCACCTCCTCCCAACCCCCTCCTGCAGCACTCACTCCTGGAGGCTTCATACTAGCCCATGGGATGCCTGAGGAGAGGCCTACTATGATTCTAAACACTGTAACCTAGCATACATTAAAATTACAGTGTAGACAGAGAGAAGATTCAAACCCAAGTCTATCATAAGTCTATCCCAAGGCTCTGACAACCCAAACTGTGACGAGCCAACAGCCCAGTCAGGTGTCTGACTCCTCCAGATAGAACACTCCTGTTAGCCACAACCTACCAGCTAAGAGGAATCACCAGGCCCCCTGGACATCAGAAAGCAGAGCAAAGTCATGGAAAGGAACTGCGAGTAATAATAAAAAGTTAAAGGGGGGAAAAAAAAAAAGCTTTAAATTCCATGGATTTTTTTCCCCCAACAACTTCAAACCATCCCATAAGAGGTTTGGTTGACACCTGCCCAGCTGAGCAGATGAGCTGAATCCCCCAATTCACCCACTTTCAGGGAGACTTTCAGCTTTCTTAAGGCCCCATTGAGCCAGACACCACCCCTCTGAGAGCTGCACCCGGCCACTCAAACATAAGGGGGTCCATTAAAATAAAAACCCCTCCACCCTCACTTTCTGGGGTTGCCTCAGTTGCAGCTAAATATCATGGTCCCATGCAGGTCACACAGAGGCAGCCAAGTTACAGAGGGCCCAGGCTACCCCTGAAAATATTATCTTTCAGGAAGTCTCATGAGCAGTCAATTCAGAGTCAACTCAGAAACACCAATAACAGGCCACTGGCCACTAGCAATACCACAACAGAACAAAAGCAACGGTGGTGACCCAATCTTTCATGTTTGATTGAGAAATTCTACTCCTCAAGCAACAATCTAAAGAACTTTGGGGTACTTTCTTTAATTTGCTAAGTAATCTCTCTTTCTTTCTGCATAATGTTCAGACAACAAAAATAAAAGGACAAGGACTCATTCTTTTTTCTCTTCTCTCTTTCTGCTGTTCACAGCCATCTCCACAGGAGCCTGAGAATGAGATGATAATAATGATGATGAAATCCACTATGGACTGAACGCCTATTTACCACATGTTTAATATACAATATCTCATTTAATCCAAAAATACCTCAGTTAGTTACACATCAACAACTCCATTTTACACATGAAGAAAAGACTCTGAGAAATACTAACATGCCTGAGGTCAGACACTGAACAGTTGGGCAAAGATTCTACTTCATTTTGATGACTATTGTGCATTCCCAGACTAACCATTAAGGAGAAAAGACCCCCTTTATTACCACAGTCCCTGTCTGACCAATTCCAAGAGCTTCCTCCCAAACTTGATATGAGAATATTGAAGTAATTATTGGAGATGTTGAGCAAGAGCATGTAGGAGGTCTGCTCTGCCAGGGTTCTGAGCAAAAGTGACGAGTTCCTATTGGCAGGATGCCTGTCTGCCTGCCTGCCTGCCAGCCTGCCTGCTCGGGGTGTGCAGTGGGAGGGCCCTCACTCAGAACATTTCTCCAAATCCTAGTATTAGAAATGCGCAGCCACCTGTCTGGTAATCTTGGGAACACTGTCTGTGGATTATAGGTCAAGGAGAGGTCCGGGTGGGTTCAGCCTCCTCATGAAATAAGGAATGCAAACATATCCAGCCAAGCTCCCTGACTATTAGAAACAGAAATGGGAGGCCAAGGTTTACAGGGTCTGGACGAGATAAGTGAGACTCCCTTCCTGGGAAATGGTTGCGACTAGTTCTATTTTAGCACCGCCCTAAGAGGGTTCACACTTCACACCTCACAAACACCCTTCCGTCAGCTCCAGCGAGAGTCCCTCTTACTTAGGTTTGGGGAACCTATGAGGGCAGGAAATAGGGGAAGAAGGGCCCCCGGGGAAAGGATCAACGTAGAGGAACTAACTACAACAGTGAAAATTGACAGAGGGCTTACCCTCATTAACACAAACCCTTGTTTACACTGGTTCATCTCATCTTCTGAAACAACCACGCAATAGGTACCACTTGTCAGCCCCAACCAACAGGTGAGAAACTAACTTCGGGAGAAGTCACCTGCCTAAAAGCTCAGGAAAAATGAGAGCCGCCTTTCAGGAGAAAGTGGTTCTGTGGACTAACAGCAACAGGGGCGGTCAGCTCCCTTCCCCAAGGAGGCCTCGGCATCGTCCCCCAAACCAGGACGGATTACTCTGAGCTACTCGGTGGCCCCTACAGTGTCAGCAAGGCGAAAGCTGGTCAAACTCGAAGCAGACTCATTCTCCAAAACTTTCTGAGGCTGGAGCCAGAGCAGGGACGTCTTCCAAGGCCTTCTGCGGTGCTGGGGCCAGAGGAGTCTGCATTCCCTGGACCTCCCCGTCCCGCTTCCAGCACGAATCCAAAAGAACTCACCTCCCAACTTCTCGCCCCTAACTGGTTTGGGATTAGGGACTCGAATTCCACCTAGGGAGCCAGGCGGTCGCGGAGGAGGGGATAGGATCCCTGACTGGGGATCCCGGGGGGTCTTAGTCCTGGGACTGAAGCCTCCCGAGTTCTTACCGAGCAGCGGGGACTCCGCAGGACAAGCGGTGAGCGCCAGCGCCGTGGTGGGGAGCGCAGTGGCCGAAGTCAAGTTGCTCGCAGGCCCGAGGCTGGAGTCACCCCCCGAGCGCAGGTCGGAGCCGCCCCACGACAGCGGCGGCCGGGCCCCCCGCTCCCGGAGCTCCCCGGAGGGCTGCCCGAGGGCGGCGGCGCCGTCCGAGCCGCCCTGCAGCGCCGTGCGGACCCCGACCAGCTGGGGCAGGCGGCCCAGGTCGCGGCCGGCCAGGTAGTAGACGAGGGTGACGCCGAGGTGCAGCGCGCACACGGCCACGAGCAGGCGGCAGGCCCGCTGCAGGGACGCGCCCGGCATCGCGGCGCTGCCGCCCAGGAGCGGCTCCCGCAGCCTCATCTTCCCGCCGCGGCTTTAAGAGGGGGTGGGCTACGGTTGGGGTGGCGGCCCGCCCGCGGGCCGCCGGCCAGAGGCTGCCTGGCCACCGCAATTGGGGGAGGGGAGGCGGGGCGCGGGGCCGGCGGCGAGTTGCTCGGCGCACGGCGCGGAGACGCGGTCGGTCCGCGCCAAGTCTGGAAGGGGCCCCCGGGCGCGGGCGGGGCGGGGGCGGGGCCGCGGAGGGGCGGGGCCTCATGGGCGGGGCCGCTCAAGGGGCGTGGTCTAGAGGGGCGGGGTCGCGAGGGCGAGGCCGCGGGGGGCGGGGTGAGTGGAGGGGCGGGGCCTCGGGGGCGGGGCCGGAGCGGGACTTTCTGGGCCCGGGCGGTGGGCGGGGGCTCCGGGGCGCTGGACGGAGGGGTGGTGCGGCTCCGGGCCGGCCGAGCCGAGGGGCGCGGACTCCTCAGGGGAGTCTGACGGGGGCGGAGCCGTGCGTGGAGGTGGGGAGTGGCCGCGGGGCCCGGCGCTGAGCGCCCCGCGCGGACCCGCTGCGCCAGCCCAGTCTCAGGCTCCGGTTCCGAAGCCCAGCCGGGTACCGCGCGCCTCCAGAGCCGTCGCTGCGGGGCTTCGGTCGCCTCCTGCGGGCTGCCCTCGAGAGGCGCCGCCACTTGCTGGGGTGCTCAAGGTGCGGCTGGGGTCCGGGCCTGCAGCTGCGGGGAGGGCCTCTGTAGGTCCCGCAGGACCTCGCTGTAGGTAAGGGAGGTGGGGAATGGTTGCCCAGGAAACGGGCTTCAACACTGTTAGGGAGGTGGGGCCCCGCCAGGAGGTTCTCTGGAAAGTTTGGGGCTCGCTTGGGTGAGCTAGGGCCTTTACCAAAGTGTGGGTGCAGCGAGGGCGCGCAGCCCATTCCACTCCCTGCGTGAAAGAAAGACCACTAGGGTCAGCTTCTCCATGTAACCCGAGCTAAGGGATCTTGGAGACCCGCTCAGTTCTGTTTCCTAGGGGTGGGTGTATGGGTGGCGGAGTACTGTCTCTTCTAGCAAGTCCCACCTCAGGTAATTCCTGCTTTGGGTGGAAGGGAACCGTCGTGATTACCACACTATCATACAGAAGGAGAGCAACGGGCTTCATTTACAGTCTGCAGAGACCTGGACACTATCTCTGGAAAAATCCCACTTTTCAGCATTCCAGGTGTCCATGACGTGCCTCTCTTACTCTCAAAGGTCACTGGTCACTTTCCATCCCTACGCAAGTCAGCAGTACTTTCAAGTCGTCAGAATTCACCACTCCCTAAATGCTCTACAGTCATCCTGCAGCAGGCTACCATCATGCTGACCTGGGTAATATGGTAGCCTCCTGATTGGTCACCCTACTTCCACCTCTTTCCTGTGGTATACCGAGTCAATTGTCCACTCAACATCCAGGGAGATCTTTGTAAGAATAAATCAGATAATACCACTTTATTCAAAACAAAATCCAAATCTCTAGAAGTCAATCAATCTGTTTCCTATCATCCTCACCCACAGTTCCTATGACTTCCTACATGGTTTACCTTCTTTAGCCTCAATAGCATAATTGTTATTCCTTGAATTTGCCTTATTTCTTCCTGCCTCAGGGCCTTTGCACTTGCTGTTCACTTAGCCTACATTATTCTTCTCTGTATTTAATTCAGGCCTCTCAAATGTCACCTCATGAGAGAGGTCTTCTCAGACTATAATATGTGGACTAGTTTCCCCCACAAATATTCCTAACCTGTTTGATTTTTTTTCAGAGCAGGCATCACTAAGATTATATATATATTTGTTTATTGTTGACTGTCTCATTAGAATATCAGTTCCATGAATACAGGAACTTTCTTGTTCACTAGTGTATCCTCACATCCTAGAACTGAACCTAAGCTACAGTTGGCACTGAATAAATATTTGTTAAAATAGTTGCAAATGATGCTTTTGTTCATTTCAATGAGGAGGAAAGGGTTGAAGGAAAGAACTATTACTAAGTTATTTATAAATGCAAAAGTCAGGAATTGTTCACTAGGGAATTGATGAGGGTGAAACTGACCTCTACAACTTAGATCTAGAGGGAAACACCTGGCCATTGAGTTAGGATGGATCGGATTAGTTCTCTACCTGAAAAATGAGGGGAGGGAAAACTGGAGCTCCGTCCTCTATATGTCCAGATAATGCCTCGAAGTTAGGATTGAGGGGCGGTTAGGGGTCAGGAAGTAAAGAAAAGAAATACCACTAATGGTCTATCTCCTAGGAAGATGAAGAATCCAGTGAGGGATCAACACTAGCTCCTCATCCAGAGGTAGAATTGGTAAATGTCTTGCTTCAGAAAGTTCCAGAAGGTCAAAACCTTCAAGACAACATTGACCAAATGTCCATACATGATCTGACAGACGGAAGGCAGTTCTTTCTACTCTCAACTTTGTCAGGTGAAAAACTAATCCCATCACAAAATAAGTCAAAATGAAAAGATAAATATTCAATGGCCTCACTTACTTGCAGAATATAGAGAAACAACAGGTGAAGAAAAAGACAAAGGCAGCAAGCTGACCATTGATCTGAGGCATACAACAAGGAAGGGGGAAGGAGAGGGGTCATATCAGGAGAGGAAAGAGCACAAGGGGCTATGGTTATGGCTCGTGGGTGATAAGGTGGTCGGAAGTATGGGGACTACATCTGAGGGGAGAAAACAAATACTGTACAAAAATGAACAACAGGGGCCTCCCTGGTGGCGCAGCGGTTGAGCACTGGGTTGCGAAGCTGCCCGCAGCCTCTGCAGCGCTAGTTCGATCCCTGGCTGCTCCCCAGCCACCGGAGGAGGGTCCCATATGGCACGCAGACCTCTCCTGCCACCCGCTGCTCTCCTCAGCAGTGTACTTTGGTCCTTCTGCCTGCTCTGCTCCCCGCTCTGGCTCTGGTGAATTCTCTCACCCTTCCGCACTTAAGACTGTACCCAGTGCTTGTATAAATAAATCTTTAAAAAAAAAAAAAAAAAAGAACAACAGGCCTCCCTGGTGGCACAGGGGTTAAATATACAGCGCTATCAAGCTATCACCAGCCACTGCAGCATGAGTTCAATCCCTGGCCAGGGAGCTGACCCACATGGTGCAGCAGACCTCTCCTTTCTCATCCGCTGCTCCCCTCAGCAGTATATTTCAGCCGATCCACTCTGTCTCTGGTGAATCCTCTCCCCTCCTCACCTCTGGCCTACACCCCAGTTCTTGTGTGCATAAATGAATAAATCTTAAAAAAAAATAAACAACGATGCAAGAAAATGAAAAAAAGAGGAAAAGAAAAACTAATCCAATCAGAGGAGACACTGGGGAAGTAAGCTGCTATGCTGACTAACCTTAAAGCTGGGATCTGGGTTTGGTAATATGCCCACGCATGTTGATCTGCCCAGAATTACCCCGCTTTCTCTTCCCCCCTATAGGCTGCCTTCAACTGGTTAGTGGCATTTCCAAGACCCTCCCACAGCACCCTCATCTGCACCTATCAGTTTACCTTTCTGCTTTACCCCAGTAGATCAGAAGGGCATAGACTAGTGCCTGGCCCATGTTACAGTTATTTCAGATTCCTATTGCTACACAATCTACCAACTCAAAACTTAGTGTTTTAAAACTATTTCTTTTTTTGATTTAATTTAATTTTTATTCTATTTCTTCTTTTTATTTTTTAACTTATTTTATTTATATATATTTTATATCACTGTTCATTTTTAAACAATGTTTGCTTCCCTTCCCCCTACAACGTGGTGTCATTCCCATAGAATTTCCTTCACCAGTTTACCTGTGCTCCACCACCTCAGTCCCCTGTGCTCCTCCCTCTCTCCCTCCCTCTGATCCCTCTCCCTCATCATCTCCTGCAGGTTGTCTCTGGTTTATAATTGTCTGTTGTTTTGTTGTGTTGTGTTGTGTTCTGCATTGTTACTATTTTTTCCCCGATGTCTTATTTTTTCCCCTGATGTCCTATATTCCTGCTATAAGTGAAACCATCTGATATTTTTCTTTTTTCCTTCTGACTTATTTCACTGAGCATAATTCCTTCTAGCTCCATCTGTGTTGCTGCAAATGGCACGAGTTTATCTTTTTTGATTGCTGAATAGTATTCCATTGTGTATATAGACCACATCTTCTTGATGCAGTTAACTGTTTTTGGGCATTTGGGTTGTAAAACTGACAATGTCTTTCTCAGAGTTGTATAGGTTGACCAGGCAGGTATGCTTCCCATGGTGTCAGTTGAAGCACTGGCACAGTTGTAAGTTCCAAAATGGCATCATTCATATGACTCGCAGTTGATGCTTCTGGAGGCTGAGAATCAAGTTCTTGCTTCTCCACTTGGACTTCTTCATAAGGCCTCTCATTACATCACAGATTGGGTCGCCTCACAAACTGAAGGGTATGTTTGGAGAAGGAGCATTTCAAGAACAAGCTAAGAAGATACAGATCCCATGGGGGCCCAACCTTAAGTATCACTTTTTGTTTGGTTGGTTTTTTTTGTTGTTGTTGTTTTTTGTGTGTGTGGGACCCTTGCTGGTGGCCTGGGATCGAACTGCTGCTGCCGAGGCTGCAGGCAGCCTCGCAACCCAGCACTCAACTGCTGCGCCACCAGAGGAGGCCCCTTAAGTATCATTTTTAGACATATTTTAGTTAAAACAAGTTATAGGGAGATTCAGATTGAGGGGAGTAGATATGGAATTTACTTCTTTAAAAAAAAAAAAGATTTATTCTTTCATACAAGCACTGGGTACAGTCAGAAGCGCGGGAGGGTGAGAGAATTCACCAGAGCCAGAGCGGGGAACAGAGCAGGCAGGAGAGGTCTGGAAGCCATGTGGGACCCTCGCCCGGTGGCCCCCGGCAGCCGGTGATGGAACCGGCGCTGCAGAGGCTGTGGGCAGCTTCGCAAGCCAGCACTCAACCGCAGCGCCACGGGGGAGGCCCTGGAATTTACCTCTTAATAGAAGAAGGGGTAAAGAATTGGCAGTCATTTTTTAAATCCAGCATCATTTGCCCAATGACCACAAGTTATTTA